GATAGATAGATAGATAGATAGATAGATAGATAGATAGATAGATAGATAGATAGATACTGTGTTTCCCCGAAATTACGATATGTCCTGATAATAAGGCCATGCCACATTTTTCTGGTGGGCAAAAATATAAGCCCTCCCCCGCAAATAAGCCTACAGAACAACAACCCCCTACCTCCGGCCAGGCAGTATTTCTTTTAGACTCAGAGTGGAAACGTCTAATTAAAACAGCGTTGGAAAACAAGTAACACATGAACAAATACAGGACAGAATTGGCTGTTTTTTCCCCCTATTTCTTTTTTTGTATGTACCATGCAAAATTGATACAATTGATACAATTAGTAATAAATGACCAGGATGGAAATGAGCTAGACCCTCTGGGGTTTTTATGAGGACGGGTCAAAAAGATCAAGATAGCATCCATAGCCATATAATCGAGGTGCCACTCTCTTTTTTACATGCATTACAGAGACAACACATGCAATCTGTGGGCCTTCAATCACAGAGCTGTAGCTGTCGTCTTTCCAGCCCCCTGTTTCTGTGTGGGCACCATCCACAGGGCTGGGCCGAACCAGCAGTGGAACCAGGCCAAACCGGCCTGGGCGCAGAACCAGTAGCGACCCAGGCCTGCTGTGACCCCGAATTGTTCCCTCGCTGCCGCTTGGTTGCTGCCATTTTGGATTTTAGTTACTGCGCACGCGCAGTTCACTGTAAATTGTTCTGCGCATGCATGCAGAACAATTTACATGGAAGAGCACATGTGCACACAGCGTGCATCTGGCACGCACACACATTCTGCTTGTGCAGAAGCGTCCTGGCAAGTGGGCGGGGCCTCCTGTTGCCGCTACCACTGATTTGGCTGAATCAGGCCGAACCGGGAGCAATCCACCACTGCCGCTGGGGGCAAGGAGCTGCTCTTTATCTTTAAAAACATGTTTCTCCTTTTCTCATCCATGACAATATAATATTCTGCCTTTTTAATATTTCCTAGGATATTTCATTCTTCCAAGAAAGGGGTGGGTGCTAACTTTCTACATTAGCCATCCCTTCAGTATCCTGTTAATTCTAAGTTTTATATTTAATATTATTCCCATTTTTCACTCTGCTCAATGAGTTTTATGTCATAAAAGGAAGCATTTCTTTCCTCCCAGTCTCAGAAAAAAGGTTTTGCTGAGTGAATCATTCCAAATGAAAGCATCAATGCTGCAGAATTCCTGTATTTGCAGAGTTATTCAGTCCCCTTTAGCCATAGTGTTAGCTGTCTTCTTTTCATTGTTTAATTTGATGTCGAAGGCTCGGAGCTGGCTGAGGAATCCAGTGTTTGGACAGATACCTCTGTGAGAGTCCACTGATTTTAAGGCTTCCACAAGTGTCAAGTTTTCGTGGATCATCAAGTACGCCAACACTAAAGTGGCTGAACGGCTTAGTCCCATAGCACAGTGGACAAAGACCTTGCCTGGGAAGACATAACAAAAGCAACTTTGAATGCACATAGTTCATGTACCACTCATAGTCCACCAGGGGTGTCCACAAGGCATGGTCAAAAGAGTCAAGATGAAGGTTGTGATGGTGCCGTCAAAGTTTGCTTTATTTTTATGCGCTGTGACACACATGCAGAGTTTCGACTGAACTATCACAAGCATCATCTTGATTTTTTTCACCCAATCCTTCAGACACGCTTTTTGATTTCTCTAAACTGTTTTATGTGGTAAACAATCTTAGCCTGCATTTACGCAAAATTGAGGTTACATTATTATTGAAATTTGAGCTTTGGTTCTTCATAGTTGTGCTGTCCCACTCACCCGCGTGCACACACCTTACTTGGTTTAGTGAGTTTATTAATATTCCCCAACAATTCCCTCCACCAAAAACCCAGAACTGTCCCAATGAAGTCCAGCCACCAGCAGACCAATGCTGGTCCATAGAGCAATGGCCAAGCAGTCCACAAGGTACTTGAAAGTTTCTCATTCAAAATAAACTCAGGCAAACTAAAATCCACAATGCAACAGAGTTCACGAGGCAAGAAAAGTCCAAAGTTCACACGGCACAATCCAAGCCAATAACAACAACAACAACAACAACAACAACAANGGCCATTTTCCGCAAAAACAGAGGCGTTTTTGCCTTCCTCCAGCCTCCAGAAGCACTCTGCAGGCTTCAGCAGGGCTGGGAGAAGGGGAAAATGCCTCAGTTTTTGCAAAAAAAGGCCCGTTTCCTGCCAATTTGTCACAAAAACTGGGATGTTTTTGCCTTCCCCCAGCCCTGCTGAAGCCTGCAGAGTGTTTCTGGGGGCCAGGGAGGACGAAAACTTTTTTTCTTACTGGGTAGTTTGCAGGTGCTCCCTTAGCTCCGGCGAGGCTGGGGGCCCCCCCACCACACTCGTCAAAACTTTTCGCCATGGTTTTGGTGGGCATGGCTTGGTGAGGGGGTCATGTGACTGAGTGTGCGTGAATGACGTCAAGTTGGCCACACCCACTCTGTCACATGCCCCCGCCCATCTAGCCATGCCCACTGAGTCGGTAATAACAATTTTTGAAACCTACCTCTGTTCCTCACGTTGTGTCTGTCACAGCCTTGGAAGTTTCTGGGATTCTCCATCAAAGCATCAATCAGGCCTGTTCCTACTTCACTTTTTGCGGGGTTTGGGGCTGCGAGTGAGACCTTGCCGAAACATTGCCAAGACAATCTCAATCTTACATGGGAAAAGACCTGAATACAACAAGACCAGCATATATTATGTATGTATTTATGTGTATATTTATTTATTTGCTACAGTCTATTTCGTATTTCTATCTTTTAACCATTTTCCGGTTTTGTGGCTGTTTTTTAATTTGTTGATCTTTCTTCCATTCTTTTTTGCTTTCCTACTTCCCCCCCTTTCCTCTAGCAACCCTACTTCATTTTTTTGTAAGCAGCATTCTTGATGAAAATGAAAGAGGGGATGAAAAAGAAGAGATGAGTTACTAACACCTCCAATGCCAATTTGTTGGGTGGAACTCAAGAAGACCAGTAAGTTTATGCACTGCATTCCACTTAATTGCAGGCACATTTCAGGATATATACTTAGTACTGTTCAGGGGGAAAAAACCTCACAGGAATTAATTGCCCAATTTTTATAAACACCTTTTTAAAAAAAATAATAATCCAATTTTTACTTAATATTTCAACCTCAAGCAAAGATACAGACATAGTTTCATAAACTGGATTTATACTTCCATCTGCTGGTGAAGGGAATCATTACACCTCCTCTTTTTTGCCAACAAAAAATATTCCTTGGTAGATTTTTTTAAAAATAATTTTGTTTACAATTGATAAATCAAGTACATTTTCTCAAAATAATACATAAGCAGAGGCCGATGTCAATACACTTTTAAATCCATCTTATTTGTTGTTAGAATGAAATTCACACCAAATTCTCAGCTGAAGTTATGGGTTAAGATTTTTTTTCTTACTTTTTTCTGTCTATTGCTGTTTTATTCTCTACAGGTCCATGTTTGCCTATATTGTCACTTCTATGGGAACATTTAAATTTTCAAGACACGCTGATAAATTTTATTTGCATTATCTGTTAACCAAAATAAATTTATTTCTCTAAAAGTAACAAATTATGTTACATTACGTGTATGTGTAAGTTTCATCCACAAATAGTTGCCTATAGTTATTCGTGTTAGAGCTTAAGTTTGTTTTATTTGTTCTTTTGAATGGATTTTTATTGGTCAACCAATATGACCAATAAACCAATGGCTGAAATAAAGTTTCTTTCTGTCTAAACAGTTGAATATAGAGTTTTGGATTTTCATTTTCTTTTACTGTATAATTTTTTATAAAGTAGGTTAGGTTTTAGTTGATAGATAGATAGATAGATAGATAGATAGATAGATAAATAGATAAATAGATAAATAGATAGATAGTAATAGATAGATAGATAGATAGATAGATAGATAGATAGATAGATAGATA